TCAGTGCAAGCAGGTTTTTGACAGATTCTCTTGGATTTTCAAGGTACAGGATCATATCATCAGGAAAGAGGGATAACTTGACTTTCTCTTTTACTATTTGGATACCCCTGATTTCCTTATCTTGTCTAGTTCCTGTGCTAGGACTTCCAACACAATATTGAACAAGAGGGGTGAGAGTGGTCAGCCTTGTCTTGTTCCAGTTTTCAGGGGAAATAATTCTAGTTTCTGTCCATTTAGCAATATGTTAACTGTGGGTTTGTCGTAGATGGCACTTACTATTTTGAGGTATGTTCCTGCTATACCTAGGTGTTTGAAAGTTTTTATCAAGAAGGGATGCTGAGTTCTATCAAAAGCTTTTTCTGCATCTAATGAGACAATCATGTCGTTCTTGTTTTTACATCTGTTGATGTATTTAATTACTTTTATGGTCTTGCAAATGTTGAACCAGCCCTGCATCCTGGGGATGAAGCCTACTTGGTCATGGTGGATGATTTTTGAAATGTGTTTTTGGATCTGATTTGCTAGGATTTTGGTGAGGATTTTTGCATCTATGTTCATAAGGGATATTGGCCTGTATTCTCATTCTTTGTTGGATCTTTACCCGATTTGGGTATCACTGTGATATTAGCTTCATAAAATGATTTGGGGTGAATTCCATCTTTCTCACTTGCCTGGAATACGTTCAATAGGATTGGTATCAGCTCCTCCTTGTACGTTTTGTGGCATTCTGCTGGAAAGCCATCTGGTCCAGGGTTTTTTTTTTTGTAGGTAGTTTTCGTATGACAGAGTCAATTTCCTGGGTGGTTATTGGTCTATTTAGTGTTTCAGTGTCTTTTTGTTTTAACCTGGGGAGGTTGCGTGATGTCAGAAAGTCCTCTATTTCATCTAGGCTATCAAGATTGTTTATATACAGGTGTACATAATGATCTCTGATACTCTTTTGTATTTCTTTGGGGTCAGTTGTGATTTGATCTTTTGTATTTCTGATTGTGTTTATTTGGGCTTTTTCTCTTTTTCATGTTCATTCTGGCTAGGGGCCCATCAATCTTGTTAATTCTTTTAAAGAAACAGCTTTTTGTTTTTTTGATGTTTTCTATGATATTTTTGTCTTCCATGTCCCATATTTGTGGTTGTGACTGTAGGTTGGTTGCTTTTATTTTTGTGATTTGGATTCTTCTGCTAAAGTTGGGGTTTTGGTGGTCTTCTCTTTCCAGCTCCCTTAGGTGATTTGTTAGGCTCTCCACTTGTGATCTTTCCATTTTCTTGATGTGTGTTTGTAGAGATATAAATTCTCCTCCTAGAACTGATTTCATAGCATCCCAGAAGTTTTGGTAAGATGTTTCTTCATTTTCATTTGTTCCCAGGAATCTTTCAATTTCTTCTTTGATTTCAGTGTTGACCCAGTCGTTGTCCAGCATCATACTGTTTAGTGTCTATGTCTTTGTGGGCTTTGGGGAAATGTTGTTGGTTTTGATACTTATTTTTATTCCACTGTGATCTGAGAATGTGCATGTCAAGATTTCAACCTTATGGAATTTGTTTATGCTTGATTTTTGACCAAGGATGTGATCGATCTTGGGGTATGTTCCATGTGGTGATGAGTTGGATGTATATTCTGTGGTTGTTGGGTGGAATAATCTGTAGGTATCTAGTAAGTCCATTTGGTCAAGTATCAAGTTTAGGTTCTGGATCTCCTTGTTGAATTTTTGCCTTGATGATCTATCTAGGGCTGTCAGTGGGGTTTTCAAGTCCCCTGCTATAATAGTGTTAGAATCAATATCTTTTTAAGGTTTATTTAGTAGTTGCTTTATAAATGCTGGTGCTCCTGTGTTGGGCGCATATATGTTTAGGATGGATGTTTCTTGCTGATAGATTGAATGTTTTATTATGTAGTATCCTTTTGCATCTTTAAAATTTTTGATAGCTTAAAGGTTGTTTTGTCTGATGTTACAATTCCAACTCCTGCCTTCTTTTGTGATCCATTTTCTTGGAAACTCATTTTCCACCCTTTAACTTTGAGTCTGTGTGCATCCCTTGTAGCGAGTTGAGTCTCCTGGGTACTGCAAATGTAGGGGTCATGGTTTCTTATCCAGTCCACCATTCTGTGTCTTTTCAGTGGTGCATTTAGTCCATTCACATTCAGGCTAATTATTGAAATGTGATTGCTTATCCTTGTCATGAGGTTCTTATAGAGTTGTTGTTGTTCCTATTTGCTTATTGTCTATCTTTTGATTTGGGGGTTGATTCATGTGTGTTTTGCATCTTTTTCCTGTATTCTTGTGAAGAATATTGTCAATCTTTTCTCCTTTTCTTCTGTGTTTAATGCTTTCTTAAGTGTATCTTGTAGAGGTGGTCTGGAGGAAGCATAATTTCCTAGGGATTGGATCTGGGAAAAATTTTAATTCTCCCTCACTGATGAAGCTTAACTTGGCTGGTTAGGTTATTCTTGGCTGAAATTGTTTTTCTTTGAGAACTTTGAAGATTGGGCTCCAAGCTCTTCTAGCCTGAAGTGTTTCTGTAGATAAATCTACTGCCATTCTAATTGGTCTTCCTTGGTAGGTAGTCTGGTCTTTTTCTCTTGCTGCCTTTTTTATTTTTCCTTTTATACCTCCTTGTACATTTTGTAGCATTCTGTTTAGGTGATTTATTATGTGTCTGGGAGTTGGTCTTCTCATTTGTTGTCTTGTAGAGGTTCTCTGAATCTCTTGTGTTTGAATTTTTGTATCACTGATGAGATGAAGGAAGTTTTCTTGAATAATTTCATGGAATGTTTGTTCCAGGGTGGTTTTTATCTCTCTTTCTGCCTCAGGAAGTCCAATTACTCTTAGGTTTGGTCTCTTGATGTAATCGTTCATCTCTTGAAGGTTTTGTTCTGTCTTTTTAAGTTTCTTTTCTATGTTTTTGGCAGTTTGGGTTAGTTCTATATTTTGGTCTTCAAACTCTGAGATCCTTTCTTCTGCTTGGCTAATTCTGCTTTCCATGCTTATTAGTTTGTTATTTATTTCAAGCACAGTATTCTTTACTGCTGTTATTTCATTTATCAGCTCCTTCGTGTTTTCCTCTTATCTCTCCTCAATTCTTTTTATTCTCTCTATTAATGTCTTGATGTCTGGGTTTGTTGTATGTGACCAGTGATTCTGGGGACTCTTCATGTCTGTGTTCCAAAGTCTGTTTTCCCAGTGTCTGACCTCCCAGGGGTCTGTGTGAGACCCATATTCTTCTTTTGGTTTTTCTTCATTTGTGTAGATTTTCCTCCCCACTTTTTCCTCCCTGCCCCAGTCTTCTTTAATTCTGTTGTTCAGGGGTGGAGGGATTGCTTTTACTTCTGTTTGTTCAATCTCCTATTCTTCCTTAAGTATATCCTCTGGCTTTGTTCAATTCTGAAGCTGGACTGTAGGTTGGTTGTGATTCTTTTTGCAGTTTTGAGATTTAATTGAGGGGGGAGCTGTGATTCAAAATCTATCTGCAGATCTCAGTATCCACTGACAGGTGGATGGATAATCTGGAACCCACTTCCCACTGCCTTGTAATCTTTCCATGCAGTAGGGTTATAGGTTTACTCCCTGAAAGCAAAATGAGGTAAGAAAAAGGAAAATAATGGAACAAGGAGTAGGGGGAAAAGGAAGGTGGAGAGGGAAGAGTAAGAGGGAAAACACACAA